GAGAGGTGCGATTTGAAGAACAATTTCCTAAAGCACTACGTATGTACGTACGTACTTATGTTGTGTTACTAAGAATTACGTACACTCGCTAGCCCCAGATACGAAATTTCTTTATCATTTTGCTGTTGAATGCGTAAGATGGCTCTCAGAACCAAAATGTCGGTTTAGTTGTCAGGTATATAGGGCCACCGAGTATACTTACACCCGTAAATAATTTTATAGATATGGCCTCAAGATGGTGTTTATACTGAAAGTGAGTTTTATGACCACGCATCAGCATCAAGCGTGTTGATGATTCCCCATATAAAACACAAGTTAAGTTTAAACACGACGCTGCGCTCGTACATGTTCCTTGTCAATGATAGAATTTAGTGTCGGCTAAAGAAGTGAATTTAGCTAACCTAACAAAAATATGTACATTCCCTTCTTCAAAGCCCAGGAATTTATGAAATTTGGCATCATCATCCACAACCTGATTTCATCCACTGCTGGGTATAAGCCTCCCGAAGTTTATGGCATCCGTCACGGTCCTGTGCTAGCCGCGTCCACTGACGCCCCGCGACACGTAGTATGTCGTCGACCCACCTTGCAACATCTTGCCCGTCCTGGGCCACCAATCAGTCGACGCCTTGCTCCACCTATCATCACCTTGTCTTGCCATAGCAAGGCACATATGTGTATGTAAGCACATATACAGATACTCCGGCCTTGCGGGGGTAGACCCCGGGTTATGTGGGACTGGGCTGAACCCTGAAGGGGAACAACCCCAAATCTCGGCCCCTCCATGCTGGGCAGCGAACTCCTCCGAGTCCGCTACGCAGGGGCCATGGGGCCAGGACAACATACCCTCAACCGTAAAGTTCAGAGGATGCTTCCCCAGCCACCACGGCGGATCTGTTGGTAGGCTCCGCCGCAACACCATCCGCGCAGCCACGTGGACTCTCCGTAGAGAGTCCTTTAGAGCGCCCACCGCACGGGCCAATCGCCCAAATTCGGCTGCGGAGGAAAGGACGAGCAGCAACGACACACCGACACGTCTCTCCTCCCCGCATGCGTCCGCACGGACGCGCTCGGCCTAGATCATGACGAGCCCGCGCAGTATCCTCCTCGGGCCAGCCTAGTTCCATCGGCCGGCCCATGAGTTCCTCTTAGCTTCACCGTGGGATGAAATCGACCACGGCTACTAGAGCCCCCCCCGCCACGGCAAGGCGGGAACCCATCCGCGGGGAAGTCTCGACACCATACGTCATTTCCTATTAATTTAATTATTTGCTTCAAATTATTGTCTCTTAAAATAATATTGTAGTTGAATTTCTATAGGCACTTACATATTTAAATACTTTAGCCATTTAATAAATAAAGAAGAGACAACCTAATACCATAGAATGATAGTTTCATATCAAAACGTTCGTGTGACTGTTCAGTCACAAGTGAGGCAAAAATCAAATTCATGTAGGCTAGTTTTAGTAGTAGGTTAATTTTCGGTTTTAGTGAATATTTATATAAAAATACAAGTTGAAACGCGTTACTTCCTTGTGGAATGTGATGTTAGTATCTATTTTATGTTTGTCTGACGTATTTTTACATTCATTTACCGCACATTTCGTCATTTTTAGCTAAAATTCTTGAACTGTTCGCGGTGCAAGGTGACCTTGAGCGCTGACGGCCCGCCCGCTCGTGTAGGCCCATTGGGAGCGCATTCAATTTGCTTCACTAGAGTGTGCGGACTAGGTTTCTATGCGTTATTATTCTAAGCCTAATACTAATATTTTGGAATGTTTAGAATGTAAACAGTAAAAATAGTTATTAGTTATGCAAGGCTGCAACGTTATTGTTCAACGCGAGTGCTTGTATTGAAATCTGATCAAGCGAATAATACCATAGTTCAAAAATAGATTCCTGAGCGTAGCGAGGTTTTGAAGGCACGAGACGCAAAACAACTTTGCTGCCGAGCGAAATACACAACTTTTCACCTCACTATAGCGAGGAAAATGATAGATGAAAGAAAAACAGTAGAAGATTCGCTCTGGACCTTTTGGAGGGAAAAGTGTTTTTTTATTTTGACTTTCAATTATTTTGTGAAATCTAGTTTAAAGTGGAATAGGATAGTGCTATTGTGCCTTAATCGAAGATTAAAACGCGAAATTATACGAATCTCGAACTAAAATACCCATTTCGGCCCGTTTTAAGGAATCCCGAGTCAATCCAAGCACGCCGCCTCAAATTGCCTATCCTCTTTGTGGCGGCCATATTTACAGAAACATAATTAAATTTCATGTTTAGGCTGATGGCTTTGCCAAAGCCTTAATAAATTAATAATAATAAAACAGTAGAACTTTAAAAAATCAATATTTTTTATCAAAAAAAAAAAGTTTGACTTCGGATGCGTTCTGAATTTGCATTTCATCAATTTTTATTCTTTCTTGTACTTCTATAATTTTGTGTTATTAAGTGATTATTGAAATTCTTTTAGTTCTTCGATGAATTAAAATAATTTATTAAACACAATTAGTTATCATTGTCAATTTAATGTCAACAATAATAAGAATAAACTACCTATTTATATTATATAAATAAGTAATGTAGGACAAATCGCGTAGTTGAACGTGTCAGTATCTTTTTTTTTATCGAAAGAAAAAGTTAGGTGCACTACAACAGTCCATTGTCGAGTTCGAATTTCAAAAACCTTTTCCACGCTAGTGTGCAGAAAACGCTTTTGCGCGCAGATTTCTAATGACAAAGAAAGCCTTTCCGAGCTAGTGAGGTGAAAAATTAGTTATCGTTGTAAATTGTCAACAAAAATAAAAATAAAATATTATATGTACCAACGGATTTATATTACATAATGTACGACAAATCGCGTGGTTGAAAGTGTCATTATGTTTTATTTCATCGAAAGATGAAAGAAAGTGCACCATTAGTCAAATGTCTACTAGTTTGAATTTCAAAAACGTTTTTGCACGCAGATTTTTAATGAGAAAGAAAGCCTCTCCGAGCTAGTGGAGTAAAACGGGTATGTTCATACCTAGTAAGAAAACGTTCATACTTCAGTTAAATTAACTCTCTAAAATTCGATCACTGGTGATGATAGCCTAGTTGAAAGGAAGCTGCGTACCTTATTCCAGCGTGACTATGGTCGAGTTTTAATTTTGTTTATCTTTCTTTTCTCTTTTAGTCTGAAATTTTGTGATTAGAACCGACTAATTTACGACTTTTTCTGGGTACAATCAGATCTAACCTAGAAGCTGTGGTTCTCGAGATACAGAAAAGGTGCCGCCGGAATAAGCTATTTCCAGTGTGAACAGTAAAATACCTTAATAACTTCAAAACGGCATAATGACTAAATCTAGTTTTTTACGACTAGAACCGACTAAATCACGACTTTTTAGTGTAATCAGATCTAAGCTAGGTGTTGTGGTTCTCGAGATTGAGAATAATGAAGATTGGTGCCGCTGGAATAAGCTTACTCTAGCTTGGACAGTAAAATACCCTTATAACTTTTGAATGGGCCTACTAAATCTAGTTTTTTGCGATTAGAACCGATTAATAATAATAACGCACACATTCAACATAACCACGCACACACTCAATATAGCCATGCACACACTTAACATAGCCCGCACTAGGGAACCCTGTGTCGCTGGTGCCATGGACACACAAATAGACAACCACAAATTACGTCCAAACTCACGAGAGAAATAAATGTACCCCATACAAATATTTCTCCCGGCCCGGGAATCTAACCTGGGACTTCGCCATGGTAACCGTTCGGCCACAGAGGCTGTTATAATTTACAAATTCCACTTTTTTCTGGGTAGTCAAATTTCAAAAACTCGACCATGGTCACACTCGAATAAGGCACTCAAGAAAGCTTATATAGGCGGTACCTGTAGCTTAGAGTTATTTCCATGTTCAAAATTAAAGAACAAATTAATTGACGACTCGGCTACTTTGTATGGAATATACAGCCAGCGCTGAAAAAGCTAACAAAAATGAAATGTAGCGAATGGATTGCGCAGGATGAATCAACTTTACTATAATTAAGTAGACGTAAGCGGTACGCCGTATAAAAACGATAATTAATAATGATATGCCCGACAAACACACTAAGTGCCTATTCGCAAACTAGAGACTTTCCTGTACAGTCAGTATCAGAGCAAAAGAATTCACTCAGGGGCACGTCCCAGAACACTCACACCAAGTCACTCAGAACCAATTTAGAAAAGTTCGTCTCCTATTTTGGTTCCACGGGGAAACGAACGCGGTATCTCCACATCCAGCGCCCAGCGCAGGGCTCCGTCACTCTCTTGAGGTTACGCGATAAGTGCCTACTGCTCAGTGTGTCACCGAAAGTGCAAGCGCTCAGATAGTCTTTTATTTACATTACAATCCTTGTACAACCCCAGCATTCGGTTCCGCATGACTGCACATGGCGGGCAACATTATTTAAACCTATCTGAGCGCGTGCTTAGGCTCCTTTTTCCTTGTAGTTAATGCCGGTGTCATTAGTCAGATTTAGTAGGCTATTATAGCGTAGGTTATTCTCGATTTTGTATGAGAGTGATATATTTATTACGTAGTAACAATTAAGTAATTTGTGCCCACAGTATAGCCACCGAAGTCGTCGAAGAAATATATACAAGGTACCTATGGATTTGGAAAGTGGAATGAAACGACAATAATACAATCAATCACATGCAATTTACGTACTCTTTAAAAGACTTTGAAAAAGGAGGAGGTTCTCAATTGTACTGTATGTTGTTTTTTTACGTATATTACGCGATAACACCGATGATTCTTTTTTTTTGGAAAGAGGGTACCTAATAAGTGGTCCCATTTGACCAGATGAATGACGTTTGAGATCGGGTTTTTAGTACTCTGTACTGAGATTATCTTATTATCGAATGAATGGTGACGGAAAACATAATGTTAAAACTTTAAGCTGTTAAGCTTTTCAATTTAGTTTTACCATTAC